TGGAAGGGGCCTGTAACTTCAATTTCTATTCACTTGTGGTCATCACCCGTGAAAGATCAAGCCTGCAACTGGACAAAATGTTCCGTGAAACGTGACCTGTACCTCCACCTCCTTCCCTTCATCCTGACCACCGCACAACAAACTTGAAAAATTCCAGTTAATTTTTTCAAGCTGACGCACAAGCCTTGAAGAGGCTCCAAAGAATTATACTATTCCTGAATCATCTTCAGTTCTATACGACATCAAGTGGACCGAGAGTTAAAAAATTCTGTTTGAGTCAATCTAGTTCACCATCTAGGTAATACAGGCTGTTAAGGTTAAAATCCATTACAGAAATAACCTGAATCTGGCGTCGCAATCTTATGCCAATTACTGAGAGAGCTTGAATCCAGAAATGGAACGAACATATGATACGTGTCAGAGCGATCCATCTCTTCAAGTCTCATTCTCTGTCTCCGTTCTTTGACTGTTGAGCGCATTTATGATTAATGACTGGGACTCTATTCATAGTTAGTGGAGGGGAGCATAGTTAGCAGAGTTAGTCCCCTCCACTAACTATGCTCTATTATACTCTGGCGGCGTGACGGTTAAACTCAATTTTGAGTGCCGTTTTGCAAGCACATTCACATTTATCTGGCGATTTACGGTTAAGAAATTATCACGCGTTTCCGGGAAATCATAACTTAAGTTCGCGGTTTTCGGATTTTGCGTGTTTTTGTGTGGCGGTCATTCATACAGAGCTGAGATGCTCAGAAGACCGTCATTATGTCAAAACGTTTTGTTCGCTGGTTACTGAATGGAGTCAGAAACAATTGTGGTCTTTGCGGTTATCGTAAAGAATTTCTTACGTACTCTAACTGAAGATCGGGTGTGATGATGATCGTCCGACGTTTCGGTGTTCAGGAGAAAACGAAAGCGGTCTGCGGGTTTCGAAGGAACAAAATATGGCGGTTTACGGGATGTACGACAACCTATAATGCACCGATATTAGCTGCACTTAACTTGGCTAAAATGAACGCCACCTGAACACAGTGCGTCTCCTATTGTTTATTAAAATAACTGTAACTCCACCGTGAAGAACAGAAAACATGCTTACATTACTAAAATACAAGCGGTGGGGGAATCTTCAACCTCTGCGCGCCTTGTACCGGAGCAAGCACAGGTCACGCATAATATGAATGGCGAAAACGTGATCTCGCCTGCTACCAAACAACGCACGTGCAACAACACGTGTCACATTCTATGGGGACTTTCTCGCCTCAGAGACAGTAAATTCTTATTACGCACAGGTTTGTTTAGCTGAAGAACGTTTCTTGTTGGATTCTCTATTTTCCAATTCCCCATAATTCACTCTGTTTGCCTCCTCCATTTTGCATAAACCATGGTTGTGAAATGCTATTGGGAATATGCAGACCTCCCAAGAGCATTTCACAACAATATTTTACGCTCAGTTTGGGGGCAAACAGAGTGAATTATGGGGAATTGGAAAAAACGAAAATACAGAATATGTCATCCACGGCTATACGACACTATAGCTGCACAAGAGGTGTTTCATGTAAAAAATACGAATCATTTTTCATGATAAAAATGATAATGAAGATGAAAATGAGTCTCTTTGGTAAAAAAAAAAATCAAGTTATCCAACAGAATCCATGACCTTCCTCAAACCAAGAGATCATAATCAATCTCTCGCTCAAACCGATTAATAGAGCGCTCTACTACTAAGCTGCAGGGGCTGTGAGAGGTAGGCCATTTTTCGTCTTTTGGAGAGGTTTTCATACGAGTAGATGCCTAGAAGAAAAAGCAAAGCCGTGAAAAATTCTCGTCAACGGCTCGAGCGTTCACAGCAGTTTTGCGCTCTTCCAAATCCTCACGAGTGTTTTCTTAACTCTGAAGAGAAAAATTTACCAAGGCACCATTCTTTTGTTTCTTACACAAAATAAAAATTCCAACCAAATTTCTGTTTCCATAGAGTGATAGAAAATGGGTTCCACTGATCACCGCCCGCGAAGAACCTTGATAGTTGTGTAATTAAAATTCAAATCAACAAGGAGCAAGTAATTAAAATTTGGAGATTTCAACCCGTTGCTAAGTACACTGATTATCCCTCACAGTTATTTCATGATTTCGTTTCCAGTTTTAAAGTCGACCAAAACTTCAACAATTATAATATAATTTTGACGCAAAAAAATATATATTATTGTCATCTCAGGATACAGAGTACCTCCTCAAAGTTAAAGACAAATTACAGTTATTTACTATTAGGCCTGCCATGTATATTTTATAACAGATTGTTGAAAGCATGGCCAAGCCGAGTTTTCAACAATTATCTTCGCTCAAATGATACCCCCTGAAAGACCGAATAGCCAATGTGATGGCTATCGTATACTCCGATACGGTCAATCTCTTAGCTCTACTAAGCGACGTTCGCTAACAATTTGATAAAAACCTTAGCAGGACAAAAACAAATTGTGGTTAGGTTTCCATTAAAGCATTGTTTCCGGTGACATGTTTGCCCTGCCGTGTGGCACGAAATTTTTTGCGGGAGTTTAATTTTGGAGATCGGCGAGGGTTTTTTTGGTATTTTGCGAGCACTAATTTTCGCAATTGTGAAAGACTGGTTTTTCTTGCTGGGTAATATTGATTTTTACGATTTTCAGGAAGTCACGTTTAATCAAAATTGCAATATTTTCTTTTTCTTTTTTACTAAACTACATGCAATCGACAAGTGAAACAACCTGTAGAAATGCAAAACATTGTAATCAGTGTTAATCTATATTTCAAGTACATCGTGCCGTAGTATGGCTGTTTGTTCTAGCAATGGAACAGCAAACACTGCAGTACCACTTGATGCATATCCCTCGAATTTTGTTTCTGAACGAAAGAGACGTTTTGAATAAATGGCACCAAGATTCATCACCTGGAGAGTGGCTAAGAGAACTGGCAAAAATAGAGTCAGGTGGAGGTCCATGGTTGACGCCCTATTCTCCCCAGCAGGAGCGAAGATGACCTGAATAAATTAAATTCAAGATTCTTCATGTCATCTCCTGACTACATTTACTCAATTTTCTCTATGTAATGTTTGCATGTATAATTTTGCCAGTGAAACAATTTTTTGCAGAGAAAATTTTTGCGGCAAATTTTCTTTTTGGGAATTTATTTTTGCGGATCGTGGAAAAAACCGCAAAAATCGCAAAAATTAGAACCCACACATTAGTGCCACACGGTACTTTAAAATGGAAGTCGTTCCGGTCACAAAAGACGTACGTACACATTGCGAGCCTATGTGAAGGCCCGCGCGCGTTGACTGGGAGCTAGCCACGTTTCATGAAATTCAAATGAGCATTCACGCGCCAGGCGCCACGTTTCAGTGAATTTTCCGCAATTCCGCGATCAGCTGAGCGATGTTGTAAACAAAATATTTAAATTACATTTAAAGAGGACGATCTTAGAATGGCTTCCTAGCTTCTGGAATTACTTATAAAATGGAAGTCCAAGGATTACACCGTACGAAGTTACCTCTGATCAACCGTTCGCTACTGCCAACAAAGCTACTCAACCTGTTCTTGTCGGCGGGCGAAACGAACTTGCTGCCGTTTTTGCCCATGTACTATCGTTTTATTGGACTGACAGCCTTTCAAAGCGGTATTTTAGGATGCGCGAGACATTTGGTATCCTTTTGGGCTTCCCCTTTGCTGCGGATTCTAGCGGAAAAGACAAACAGGAGGAAGTTCCTTTTTCTCGCGTTACTATTGGCTGCTGTGATTTCCAACATTTCTCTTGGACTAACAAACACAGTTGTGTCCACAAAAAAATTTCGGGCCTACAACTGCGAGAAGATTGCATTTAGTCACAGTATTTCGAGAGTCAATGGATCAAACTTTAGTCAACTAAATGCATCAACAACATCAGGAGAAATTGCCACAACAGGTGCATCGACTGTTACAATACTCTCGAATGGACCATCATTGGGAAATTTCACGCAATTAACTGACAATCATTCCACGATCAACAAAACCAGTAACTTGTCTGACACTGGAATGAGGAACTTTGATCAGACGAGCAACAGCTCTAATGGAACTTTATATTTGATCAATTCGACGCTTCTGACCCAAAGCGTTAATAATTCACTAAGCACCATAGAATCTCTATACGATAACTTCACCAATTTTGAAGTTCAAAGTAAATGGTACCGCCTGTACGGGTTCCAAATGGATCATACCTTTAAAATTCTACTGACCTTGGTTTTTCTCTCTGAACTTTTCTCATCTTCTGCGAAAGGAATCAGCAGAAGCATATTTTGCGACATTTTGCGACAGAACAAAGGGTCCCGTTCAGGAACCCATGTTTGGACTACTATTGGCGCTGTGCTTGGGGGTGGGGTGTTAATTATGGCCATAGGCTATCATCACTGTGATTTTGGCTTAAAGAATAGTTTCTACTTACATTTTTTCAGTTTTGCAATTTTTGGAGCTCTGTCCTTTGTTCTTGGGGCAGTTTTGAAGGAACCTGAGCAGAAGTCACTCTTGGTTCTGAGGTTTGGAAAAACCTTGGCATATCTGTGTTGCGATGTAAACATGATATGTTTTCTTGCTGTACTTCTAGTGCTTGGCATGGCTGAGTCCCTCATGTACAACTTTATGATGTGGTATCTACAAGACATCGGAGCATCAATTATCGTTATGGGGGTCATTGTGACCACAACTGCATTTTCTGAAATTCCGATGCTGTGCATCTCAAAACACTTGATCCGCTGCTTTGGTCATCACTGGGTGATATTTGTGTCCCTCTTCTGTTATGGAGGCCGTTTCCTATATTTTTCATACTTTAAAAGCCCTTTGCTTATAATTCCCATAGAGCTTCTTCGTGGGCTTTCATATACAACAGTTCAATCTGCATGTGGATCATATGCAGCCTCTGTGTCCCTCCATGGAACAGAAAAGACCTTAAAAGTGATTTTCTCTACAGTTTACTATGGTTTCGGTATGGGTATAGGTGGCATTGCTGTTGCACTTTTATATCAGATTTATGGACCTACAGTTGTTTTTCGCTGCGCAGCTGGGGTGTGTGGTGTATATGCGCTGGTGTTTGCGCTGCTTCAGTGTATTTTAGTGCTACCTGATGGAGACAGAACTGGTGGGAAGGTAATGGAATACCAAAAGATAAATTTGGATGGAGAGAGAGGAGACTTTACTTTTCAGCAAGATTGGCTGATGGAAGCCCTTCAAGCAGAAGAGGATGGCGAAGATGAGACCCACTTTATGAAATGAGTGACTGATGACTTGATTTATAATAAGTGCATGGTTAATTAAACAAAGAAAGGTTAAGAAGAAACATGCAATGTGTGGCAATGTTGAAGATAGAAATTTGTTGCCTTTATCTGGACAGCAAAAATGATTGGTAACAAAAACAGTTTACATAATGCTGTTTACCTTTCTAAAAACTCTCTTGTTTTAATAGCAAAACATGTACAGGATGTAAAGACAGGGCATGAAACCTAACCAGGTTCAATCCTTATTTTTTGAAAGCTGATTAGTGCAACTAATCCAGGATTTTCCATCTAAGTTCGTGTAGAGATTTTGAAGCTACTTTTTAGCTGACAGTTTTGATTGTGGTGGGTTAAAATATGAAACTTAAACAAAAAAATTAAAACTGACAGACTTTTTCAGGGTTTGGAAAAATTCAGTTCAACAAATACCTTGCAAAATCCTGGTTGGTGTGAATTGGTTTTCAACCAACCATTATGCTTAATAAATCATAACTCACTTGATTTGGTTATCCTGTCTTCATAAAAAGAGAGCTGCTTTAATTTTTGTCTGAAATCACAACAGCATGGAAAAGAAATGAGTTTGTGTGTCACCAATATTGAACTGGGCCTCTAAAAGGCAGATGATTGGATGACATAATTGGCTAGTGAGCTGGCTGCCTGGTAACAAAGTGGCAATGAATTAATTTGATACAATTTTCTGTTCTGAATTTTAAATAAGTTACCATAAATAATTTTTAATATCAGCTTTGAGAACACGGTGTTCCACTCATTGTACTAGCAAACAGTGCTATTTAACAATTACATTATGAGCTCAAGATTTCTATGAGGTGATAGTTGATGAGGCCAAAGGTAGAATTCCAACTGAAATTTACTTCACTGAAATAACAGTTTCCAATATTATTTCTCGATGTATTATTAAACTTTGCACCGTAGAAAGATTGATGATTGCATTTATGTGCATGCAAGCATCACTTTTTTCAATAATTTCCAGTTTTTTAAAGTCAAGAAAACATATTCTTCTTTAAGTCTTCTCCAGAATTTAATATTCCATTTGCATCAAAATGTTGCTCCAAAACATTGGAAAAACAAAATAAAACAATACCATTCCGTAGACGACCACCAGTCACTGCATGCTAATGGCCGATAAGTGTACATCCACTCAGCCAATCAAATTGCAGCATTTGCATTAGTGTTTAAGTAGAATTCAACTAAATTATCACTTTGATCCTGTCACCACACTGCACTTGAAAATGAATTCATAACATAATGTTCAGGAGAAATTTGATGTTCTTCTCCCTTGGGAATCAAGAAGAAACAGACCAACACAAGAAGTTTACAATGTTACCTGTATTTAAGCAAAGCTTACAACTCTATCAAGGAAAGAGGACCCAAGACTTCAGTTCATATATCCTTGAAGGATCCATTGTTATCATTGAGAAAAAGCTATTTGGATGCACCTTTTACAGGAAACCAATATCCTATTAATATAATTTAATGATGACTCATCTGCAATGGGTGTGCATCTTATTTCACATATTTTGTACATTCAGTCAATATCACTTTCAGTTTAGCTCCACCAAATGTAAATACATGTGTTGAAAGGGAGGGAGGGAGGGAACTAGGTTATACAATAAAGGCCAATGGCAAAAGTATTCTTCTACATAGTGAGATTTTATATTTAACTTTACTGGCAATGTAACAGTTGCATTTTCTCTGGCAACAAGGTGCACAGTCAAATTACAAATTTAAATTATTCTAAGTTATCTTAATATAATGAATTAAATTAACACACAGGAGCAAGGTTCGAGGTCAAATACAACTTGGAAATTTATTTTATTAGTTCGGTGCTGCATGTAAAAGCTATCTTCATGAACAAATTAAATAGGGATTTTGACAAATATTATGTAAAAGGTCTATGAGGAATAAATAAAAGTGTTTCTGAGACAGCTGATGAAAGTGGATTAAATTGATAATAACTCTCAATATTTTGCCAATACTACTCTAACTAGTTATAGAAATATTACTTGGGAAATCAAGAATCTGTGAATATATCATTAGGTAAACTCTGCGTTCGAGCCAAGTGGCCCATCATCAGGCCGGAGCTTTTCCCGGTCCTGTAGCATGAAGTGACTGGAAGTATTTCTACTCCCACCTGGATGGGATGCTAGCCCATCACAGGGTTACCCCCCAGCATTAAATGGGTGGAGAGAGGCACCGTGAGAGTAAAGTGTCTTGCCCAAGAGCACAACACAATGTCCCCAGCCAGGGCTTGAACCCGGACCGCTCAATCCAGAGATGAGCACACTAACCATGAGGCCCCCACACCTCCCTGCATGAGTACATCATTAGCCTGAGGTAAACATGTGAATGATCAAGATGAGAGAACAGATAATGACCACGGACAAAATAATATCCGAACATATTTCCTCACCAAATGGAGGCTATTCATTGTTTATATATAACTGCAATTGGGCTACTTTTCTAGTACAACCTTCCAGGGGGAACTCCCTAGAATGGCCTATAGAGTAAGGGGTTGGACCTCAGGGTGGAGCCGCTTGATTTAAAACTTTCTAGAGTACCCCCCACCCCTCCCTGGGCTAAGATATAACAATTGTCCAACCAAAATCTGGTTTCTCATCTGCACTTTCTTAATATATGATGTCTGCGCATCAGATCTTTTTCCCAAACCATGATAAGGCAAAAACTTTATCACCCCTACCCCGACAAAATCAAATAAAATCGCAAATTTTACACTCCATGACCCCCCAAACCAGTTCCCCGCCACAACGTCGCCGATCACCGTAAATCAGAATGAGACAGGCTGCTTTGTTCGGCACTGCGCTCCGCTCTACACCCTGTTTTCAATCTGTTCTGGGCTCTTAAGGGAACGTTAAGGTAAGATAAAGTGATTCTGACTTGATACTAGCCAAAGAAAACTGCAAGTGATTGAGATCCTGGTTCTTATATGGTAAATCGCGGCAGGTTTCTTTCACAGGTCACAGGTCAAAGGTCACAGGACACAGGTCACAGGTCACCAAAAATATGCTAAAACGTCATAAAACAGATGCATACAAGTACGTCCCAAGTGTAACTGTAACAGCTCTTTTCTGAAAAAAAGAGAAAGCCAAGACTTTTTTCTGTTGAAAACATAAATTGTTTGTAGCCTTTCAATATAATATGAAAACGAAAGAGACTTACACTGATCCGTGAATTATGCATTTACTTACGCGTGATTTGTGAACCAACGACTTTTGCGGGAATAATTGTTCACTTTTTTTTGGACATTTTAGCGTGATTAAAGCTCGTAAACTACACCAAACTAGATGTAAAACCTGCCCATTCCACGCGCTTGCGGCTGGAGGAC